ATTTTGAAAAGTTGTGTTTTCATTTTCATTTGTTTCCATGAATTTTTTTTAATCTTTAATTTCCTGGTTGACCCATTCATTCCTTAGTAGGATGCTCTTTAGCCTCCATGTATTTGAGTTCTTTCTGACTTTCCTCTTGTGATTGAGTTCTAGTTTCAAAGGATTGTGGTCTGAAAATATGCAGGGAATGATCCCAGTCTTTTGGTACCGGTTGAGACCTGATTTTGACCTAGGATAGATCTATTCTGGAGAATGTTCCATGGGCACTAGAGAAGAATGTGCATTCTCTTGCTTTGGGATGGAATGTTCTGAATATATATACAATATACCATATTACCAATATACCAATATACCAATTACCGTATATATCTGAATATACCACATCTTCTTTATCCATTCATCTGCCGATGGACATCTGGGCTTTTTCCATAGTTTGGCTGTTGTGGACATTGCTGCTATAAACATTGAATTTTTAAAGGATTTCTCTAACTGCTGCTGCACAGAGTAGACTGTGGAGGGAACATGAGTGGAAGTAGGGAAACCAGTTAAGAAGCCCTTTTGGTAGGCTAGGTGAGAGATCATTGCCGCCCTTACTAGTATGGTAGATGTGAAGGTGGGGGAAAGTATTTGAATGCCAAATATATCTTGAAAGTAGAGCTGTTGGAAATTACTGATGTAAAATTAGAAGGTATCAATGATAATTTCTGTGCCTTAGCTATTGGACGAATGGTGATGCCATTTACTGAGACTGAGACTAGGGAAGGAGGAGTTGGAGGCCCGAATCGAGAGATTTAAGTAGAAAAAAAAAAAGATTTAAATATCTCTTAAGTTCAGTATGACTACAGTCAGGGAGAGAGTCAAGTGGACAGTCATCCACCTTTGGTGTTTAGGGGAGAGGTCAAGACTGGAAGGTTAGTCTGGGATGATATCAGCTTGAGAGAAAGTAAAAAGGAAAGAGGTATGGAACTGAGCCCTGGGCCAACTCTAACATTAGAGGACAAAAGAGAAGGAAGAATAAGCACTTGAGAAGGAAGAGGAGTGGTTGGCCCATAGGATAGGAAACAATGTAGGATAATAGTGTCCCAAAACCCAAAGAAAGTTGTATAAGAAGGGGATGTGATTAACTGTTAACTAAAGCTAAGAGGTAATGATTAAGATGAGGACTGAGAAATTTACCATTGGATTTGATTATTAGAACTTGTTAGTCGCCTTGATGAATATTTCACTAGAATGGCATTGACAGAGCTTGACTGATGTGGATTCAGGAAGTACTAATAAATGAAGAAGTAGAGAAAATTATTTTAGGATGTTCCCCATTAATAGGAGCAGGGAAATGGAGTGGTTGTAAGAATTAAAGAGGGGGTTTTATTTTTAGATGGGATATATTTCACCAGGTTTGCATGTTTACATGCTAATGGAAACACCTTAGATATTTGATTATTTGGAAACTAATTGGAAGCAGTATGTGATATGTTCACAAGTACACTGAAAGGGTATTGAGAAACATGGACTTCTAACCATTATGGGGCTGTTTTCATCAATCAAATAATGAGGGTTAGTCTAGATGAGCTCAAGCTTTGAGATTCTATGAGTATCCAGTATGGGCCTCTCTGATACGTTTTGTTCATGTATTATGGCAGTTCTGTTGGTTATTAGTACCCCTGGAGGCTACAGGCAATTATTACCAATGTCACAGTTACCTCAAAAGCCCAAACACAGCTGCTTACTGGCATCGCAATGCAATGTCTAGTACTACAAACACTCCTGTCTGCCAAAGACTACACATCGCTGCCACTGGGTGGAGGAAAAATGGACTCTGTCTGTCTTTGCCTTTCCGAATGTGGTGCAATCATATCTTATTGGCAGTACCTAAATTATATCAACCCTGATGGCCAAAAACTTTGGGTATATAGTTTTCAGGCTTCCGTCCCTTGCCATACAGGGGAAGAGCAAGAAAGGGGCAGGTAATTGCCAGTAAATAATTCCACAGAGGAGGTATAATGGACTTTATGAAGAATTAGATGAAAATTCTTGGCCTAAATGAGTTTTTTGCCTTATCTTTTGATAAACTTTTTCATGTTATTCTTTCCCTTTCCATTCGGTAAATAAATAGTTTATTTACTATGTAAGGGGTGTTTGGTGTTCTTTAATCTTGAAGGAATTTTAATGCAAAGAAGATAATCTTGTTTTAATTTCACAGCCTTTGGACATGAGGTGATCTGTAGTTTAAACTGAAGTATTATCTTTTTCTCTGCTATCTTGGGTGCATATGTTTCTGTAATGAACTTAGGTAATGGTCAGAAATGTGGGGCTCTCAGCTATTACAGAAAAAGAAATGAGAAGGATGAATCTGTATTTGTCAAGGGTAAAAGAAGTTCTTGGTCAGAAGGAGAAGGATCATTCTGCTTATGCTATTGTCAATACCAAAACATATAAAGAATTTGTGGATTCTGTTTCTTAGCATAGAGCATTGTAACTGCTCTGCTTAGTCTTCTTTCCTCATTTCAACCCTCTTTTTCCTCACAGCCACTCCTTTCAGATGCTTAAGAGGATCCAATAGTCTAGTTAAAGATATTCAGTAAATTTGATGAATTGCCATTTCTTTGAAATTTCTGTGATCTCTTAGCATTATGTCCTTGATTTTGTTCATCCCATTTCATAATTCTACCCTCTTTCTAGATTGCGATCTAGAAAAGGTAAAGGGGCACATTCATGAAAATACCTTTCAAAATGAAGGCAAAATCAAGACATTTTCAGACGGATAAAAACTGAGATAATTTTCCTCTGGAAGACCTGCACTCTAAGAAATGCTAAAAATTTTTTAGAGTAAGGGAAATGATAGTAGATACAACTCCAGATTAGCAGGAAGGAAGAGCACCAGAATGGGGAAATATCTGGTAAAAATAAATGGTCTTTTTATAAAAAGTATCTTTATTTTATATGTGTATGTGTATTTAAATGTCTTTAAAAGATTATTTTTTTTTAATCAAAATGTGTAACAGTTTGTTGTGGGTTTATAACTTTATGTAGAAGTAAAATATAAGACAGTAAGAACACGAGGTAAATGGAATTATAAAGTTATATTGTTCAAATAATATTTGAAGGTAGACTGTGGTAACTTACAGATAATCTCTGTAACAAGCACTAAAAACTAGCACAAAGAAGTAAAGCTAAAAAAACAATACAGGAAATAAAAGTGGAATACTGAAAAATACATATTTTAACCAAAAGAAGGCAGGAAAAGAATAAAGAAGAAATAGGATAAATAGAAAATACATACCAAGATAGTGGACTTAAACCCAGCTATACTAGTAATTACATTTAATGGGCTAAATACATCAGTTAAAAGGGAGAGATTGTCAAACTAGATTTTTTTTTTTAAATATTTTATTTATTTATTCATTTGACACAGAGAGAGAGCACAAGCAGGGGGAGCAGCAGAGGGAGAGGGAGAAGCAGACTCCCCGCTGAGCAGGGAGCCTGATGGAGGACTCAATCCCAGGACCCTGAGATCAGGACCCGAGCCGAAGGCAGTCGCTTAACCGACTGAGCCACCCAGGTGTCCCTCAAACCAGATTTTTTAAAAAGGGAAGACCCAACTATATGCTGTTTACAGGAAGTAACATTTGATTGATTGATTGATTTGAGAGAGAGAGTGAGTGTGCACACAAGCAGGGGGAGGGGCAGAGGGAGAGCATCTCAGGCAGACTCCCTGCCAAGTGTAGAGCCCCAACACTGGGCTCCACCTCCCAACCCTGAGATCATGACCTGAGCCAAAATCAAGAGTCAGACACTCAACCGACTGAGCCACCCAGGCGCCCCTATTGGTGAGATCTCTTTAATGACGGCTTAGTCCATAGGTATATTTTGGCATGAAGATCTTTGTGTTTAATTCAGTAAACGATAGGATCTAGTTTCATTATGGACCTTTCACACTTCAGGAACTTTTCATTGGGAAAATAATTATTTTAGACAAATATAAGTTGTTATATGTTCAATAATATTTGTATCACTTGGTCATAAAACTTGTGGTAATTGGACTAAGCTTTTGGGCTGTATTTTTAAACTTTATGAGAAATGCCTTAATGTTTTAATCTCCTTGAGACACATGTCTCAGCCCAGAGTGTAACTAGAAGAGTTCTAATCTCTATGTTGGTGTTTAGTTATGTGAACCTAAAATGTCAGAATATTCATGAAAAAAAAAAGTATATGAATACTTTAATGAGAGTTTAGTAAATGTAAATGTAGAGTTTGTCACTATAGAAAGATCTTCATATAATTTTGTTATATGGCATTAAATTTTTTTTTTCTTCCAGGGTGCTCTGGAACAGGGTTCCAATTCTCAGCTCATGGCTGTCCAATACACAGAAACCACTAGTATCAGGTAAGAAAGTATGGAAGTTCTTGGCCACAGAATTTTAAATACCTAGTATTTTAGTAAAGTTGAAAAGCATATTTCCCTTTTACCTTAAACTTGTTCTCATCGGTGACTTTACTGTTAGTTCACATAACATACTGCTTCTGAGCAGTCAGAGTAAATCCAGATAATTTCAAAAGGTTAACTCTCAAACTCCTTAAATACAGATTTAGTTAGAATGCTGTTCAGTCATAATTTTGCTGTACTATTTAAATACACATAACTCTCGTCCTTGATTTACATCTATTTGATGAGCCAAGGGGAAGAGAATGTTATTTGGATGTCTGCTCTGTGCCAGGTTGTCCTGCTGAGTGCTTTACATGCACTTCATTCTTTAAATCTGTATAATAACTTAATGTGTAGGTATCACAGTCCCTATTTTATATAGAGAAAAACTGGGCAAGTCACTTACTTTTTCTAAGCCAGAGTCATAGAACCAATAAGTGGCAGAATCACCATTCAGATCTATTTGACTTAAAATGCAGGGGCGCCTGGGTGGCTCAGTTGGTTACGCGACTGCCTTCGGCTCAGGTCATGATCCTGGAGTCCCGGGATCAAGTCCCACGTCGGGCTCCCTGCTCAGCAGGGAGTCTGCTTCTCCCTCTGACCCTCTTCCCTCTCGTGCTCTCTATCTCTCATTGTCTCTCTCTCAAATAAATAAATAAAAATCTTTAATAAAAAAAAAAATTTTTTAAAAATGCATTTTTCACCACACTGATGCTACTTAAGATTTTGAAGGATTCCGGAAGGAGTGCTGTGCCTAAGGTTGAAATGTATGGACCAGACATACCTAACTAAAAGGAACGGTATCATGGGAGGCGATGTAGTGTCATCGTTTAAGACGCTAGCTTTTGAGTTGGCAGAGTACAGATCATTTTTGCCACTTACTTGCTCTGTGGATTCAAGCAGGTCACTTAAAGTTTCCTCATCTACAAAACTTTGGCTACACAGAGTTGATGATTAAAATGCATACTTTATTTAAAGCACTTTACATGGTACTTGGCATGTTCAAAAGCTGGTAATGATGATGATGTGATATACTGATGACAGTATCACTGAAGTGGAAGTAAAGAGGGGCGCCTGGGGGGCTCAGTTGTTAAGTGTCTGCCTTTGGCTCAGGTCATGATCCCAGGCTCCTGGGATCAAGCCCCGCATTGGGCTCCCTACTCAGAGGGGAGTCTGCTTCTCCCTCTCCCTCTGCCCCTCCCCCTATACTCGTGCTCTGTCTCTCGTTTTCTTTCTCTCAAATAAATAAATAAAATCTTAAAAAAAAAAATAAAGTGGAAGTAAAGAGTCAGATTCTGTCTGTACCTCTACCATAGACTTAGAGTTCACAATTTATTTAATATTAATTTCAGATTTAGTGAGCACCAGCTGTGGGTCAGACAGTGTACCAGGCCCCGAGAATACATACCCAGTATAAGTTGAAAGCTGTTCATTATCCTATTAACTGAGAATTACTATGAGCAGCATGTCAGCAATCATGAATGTTTAAAATCCTGAGATACTATATTATCTTGTAGAAATAGATAATTCAAATATATATAGTAACTAGTAATTCTCTAGTGATCAGACTATTTCATTCATTTACTATATGCATATTTAAAAATATTTTCCTTTTTTAAATGGATTTTTTTTTTTTTTTTTTGAGAGAGAGTGTGTGTGATTGGGGGGGTGGGGAGAGGGAGAGAGAATTTCAAGCAGGCTCCACGCTCAGCATGGAGCCCAACGTGGGGCTTGATCTCACAACCCTGAGATCATGACTTGAGCTGAAATCAAGAGTGGTACGCTTAACCGACTGAGCCACCCAGGTGCCCCGCCCCCCCTTCTAAAGTAAGTTCCGCGTCCAGTGTGGAGCCCAGTGTGGGGCTTGAACTCACGACCCTGAGATCAAGACCTGAGCTGAGATCAAGAGCTGGACACTTCACCAGCTAAGCCACCCAGGCACCCAAATATTCATTTTTTGATGCATCATTATGATGGCATATTATTTCTTTACTAGTTAAAAATGTTTTTAATCTCTGCATCTTCCTCTCAAGTTTGCTGTGAACCTAAAATTGCTTTTTAAAAGTCTTTAAAAAAATGTTTTAAATGAATTACTCATGTATTCTGTAACTGTGAATCTGCCTACTCACTAAAATGTACCTCTGCCCCAAAATCAATACTCAAGATGTTTTCATAGTCATTCATGAATGTGCATAGATGGTCCCGGGTGAGGCTTAATTAACAAGGCAACACTCTGCCTTCCTGTTTCAGCTCTCATACTGTAAACAAGTTTCTTTTTGAGGTCTATTAAGTGCCATATTTTTCTGCTTTTTGTTAGTGATTTCACTGTTTAAAATGGCCCTGAAGCATAGTACAAAAGGACTACCTATTGTTCAAGAAGGCTGTGTTGTGCTATATGGGGAAAATATACATATTAGATAAGCTTCATTCAGGCATTAAGTTATAGTGCTGTTGACTGTGGGTTCATTGATAATGAATAAACTGTATATGTCAAAGGAGGTATTTTTAAACAGAAACATAAAACAAAGTTATATATTGATCAGTTGATAAAAATGCTGTAACTAGGGGCTTGTAGGAACCTAACCCTATATTTCCCTTAGAATGTTTCAGTATTTACTAATTCAGTGTTCACACTGACTTTATAGAACATAACTACCATGAATAATAAGAATTGATTGTGTATTCAGGGGTGCCTGGGTGGCTCAGTTGGTTAAACATCCAACTCTTGATCTCAGCTTACGCCTTGATCTCAGGGTCATGAGTTCAAGCCCCACATTGGCCTCCACCCTGGGCATGGAGCCTACTTAAAAAAAAAAAAAAAGAAGATTGTATATTCAAAATAATATGGTTAGAAACGACCTCACAGTGAGCAAGTGGAATTATTTCAAAGAAAATTCTTATGACTCATTTATAATTTTCCTTTTAGATCAGTCTTTTTTTCCTCTAAAAGTTTGATTGAAAACATAGAAGAACATATAAGAAAGAAAACATAGGTTGTCTTTTTGGAGAAAAATGAAACATTCTTTAACTCTCCTTTAACTTTTAGGTATTAGCTTATTGTGCTAAATAGTAAAAGACTGAAAATATTAAAAACTATATTAATATCATTTGAGTATATCTTTTGGGGATACGATGTGGTTGAGGTACTATAATTTTAGTTAAAATTTTATGAAGGCACTGACATGGTACTTTTTTTGTATTTTTTTAAATTTAAGATTTATTTATTTGAGAGAGCGTGAGAGAGAGCACGAACAGGGGGAAGGGGTAAAGGGAGAGGGAGAAGCAGACTCCCTGCTGAGCAGGGAGCCCCAACATGGGACTTGATCCCAGGACTCTGGGATCATGACCTGAGCCGAAGGCAGATGCTTAACCAACTGAGCCACCCAGGCGCCCTGATATGGTACTTTTAATATCTATGGCCAACATTTGTTGAGTGACTCCTAGGAAATAGGAGACCCATGCTTGGTACTTCACATATATAATATCTCTGACCCCAGTAACAATCCTGCAGGTTTATATGGTTATCCTCATTTTATGGATGAGGAAATAGAGGTTGCTCAGAGGTTGAGTTCCCCAAGAATACCAACTTGAGGAGTGGAGGAGAAATTCAAAGCCAGGTCTGTTTATTTTCAAATCCTAAATTCTTCCCACCTTTCACACAGCCTTATAGGCAAGCACACCTCACAAATTTGATGGAGTAGTAAAAAAGAAGTTTCCCTCAGACTTAATTTCTGTCACCAGAAAATTTAAAATCATGCCAACCAGTGCAGCAATCTGTTTTCTGATACTTTTATTATTATTTTTACATGCTTTGCAGTGCACTTGAGTGGTACATTTTAGAGCTTTCCATTCAGAAAAGGGAGTTTTAGCTATTTAGGGAATTGGATCTTACAACTATCCTGACCTTGAGCTTTTCAAAATGTTATTACAAAAATTATTGCCAAATGCTGCTAATATTTTGTGGGAGAGAAATTCTTATAATTCAGACGTAGCCTTAGAATAGGGAGTATTTTTGAGAGGATATGAAATTTGCTAGTTTAAGAACACTTTGCCCTTTTCTTCCTTCAGCAGGAACTCGGGGAGTGAGCTGCAAGTGTATTACGCGTCACCCAGAAGTTATCAAGACTTCTTTGAGGCCATCCGCAGAAGGGGAGACACGTTCTATGTTGTGTCATTTCGAAGGGTAAGTTCACTTTGAAAGAATAAAGAAAGTATTTTTGAGTACCTGCTATGTACAGGGCACTGGACTGACTACTGTGGGAGGGAAAGAGATGTGAGATAGGAGGCTGTGTAGATACGTTATGTGAGTGGAACCTGGAATACATGCTTGTTTCTGAGCTGTTGAGCATTGTGAAGATGAACATAGAATTGGTGTCAGGCAATGAGTTTATATTAAGAAAATAGAAACAGCTTACTGATTTTGATTCTTTGTCATTCCTATATCTGTACTGTTTGTTTTTAACAAAAGAAGTAAAAACATGAAAATTTCTTTTTAGGCTTTGTAGTGTTAGTCCCATCTGGTTATTGAGAAATAGACTTCCCAGGTGTGGGATTAAGGTGAATCATGGACGGATCAATATGTTAATGTGGAATGTTTGGATTTATGTTCCTAAGACTTCCTATTCTTCTTTCCTCTCTCCTTCATCAGACATTTACTCCAGTTGGTGAAGCATGTGTTAGTTTATGCAAAAGGAAGTGTTTATATGAGTACTTTTGAACGTTACAGATGTCAGATTAGATGGAAACAAGATGCAGAGCTATTTGCATTCCATCTACTTTTCCTATAAAATGAAAATATATTTTTCATAGAGTTGCCATGTGAGTATCTCTGTTAGAGTGCTGTGTATTAAACCAGGAACACATGAATGAGTTAGAATTCCTTGGAGGTCTATATCCTAGGCTTTTCTTTTCTTCTCTTTTCTCTCTCTCTCTCTCTCTCTCTTTTTTTTTTAAGAATGTAGAGGGGGCACTGTTAGAAATAAGCACATGCTTAATTGTAAACAGTTCATTCTCTGATTATTGTCACCACTCACTATCTGAAATTCTCAGTTAATTCAGTTCTTTTCCTAACATATATATATCTAGTAGCTCAGAATATTAGGATCAGGGAACTTTGACAATTGAAGATTAGAGAAATCAAACATGTCATATATTTTTAACTGTTAACCAAATACACTTGGAGATTTGGAATACTTTTGCGATGCCATCTCATGATTTCTGCCTTTTCACAAAATTCCTTGTGCTCAGCTTATTCTCTCAGACATAACTGGTATATTTACGTACTATGCCAGCCTTGAAGTTCATTTCCAGCAGCAAGGGGGCAGCTGAGAACAGGGTTTCAGCAAGGCTCCAACTGTATTGGCTGCTGAGAACTAAGTATTTGCCTTAGTGTTGATACAGTCATGTTAAAAGTGGAAAGAAAAAACCACACTTTAGAAATGAGATCTCATAGCACTATGAAGAGATATGATGGGTGTTAAAAAATGAATGTGTTCAAGTATATGTTTATGGAAGCTACCAGAGAAAAGTGTTTTTAACACTCAAATAGCTGAATACTTTTTCTCCTGTTCCAGATAATTTCTCTCTCATTTGACCAAAACAGTATATGTAGTACATAGTAGAAGTATCAGTGGTCATGCCACGGGCTGAAGCTCTAGTTAGTAATGTTTTTCTAGGGAAGAGAACAATAATCCTAGCTTTAAAGGGATTATATATACAAAGGAAGATGAATGGTATTTTTATTTTAAATATATACATTGTATTTCTTGTGTTTGTAAAAAGCTCTTTCTCTTCAGTTTGCTGTAAAAAGTGCTGTTGGAAAATTACTGATTTCTCCCCACTGCCCCAACTTTTTGATGTTCTAGAAGAAACAGTCTTTCTTATGTTGTGGAAAACTGTTAGGACTATCGGCACATTCTGTTTGGATTTTTTTATTTCCTAATTACTGATTTATCACATCTTGGTGTTTTATATCAAGGAAAAGTGAGGATGAACCTGAACTTCATTAGGTAACAGTAGTTAGAGACAACATCCTGTTTCATTTTTTCTTGTTTTGTTTTAACAGCAGGGCTAAGGAAGTTAACTTTATCATGATGACTGTAAACTGTGTCATGGGACAGGAATTTGATTCTTAAATGCTGGATTGTTCTTTTTGTTCTTGGTAAAATGAAAATGAAAGAAGTAATGACCTCATGCTTGGTTTTCGCTTCCATTTTTCAATATAAAATATTCTTCTAACATTTTTAATAAAAAGATGAGGGGCATCATTTCTTGTGCAGAAGGATACAGGCTTTTTCTCCCACTTTGGTTCTTAATTTCATTGACCGAAATTACTGTAATTGATACCATATGATTGCATTGGAATTTAAGAAATACAGAGGTTCTAAAGCCCCTAAGGTTCGGCTTAGTATAAACCAGACCTAACAGAGCCAGTAAGCAAGCTGTATTGTTTTATTTTATAAGTGGATATGTATTTAATAAAATTTTAATATCTAAAAAAGTAGAAGTAGCCATTGACTGTTTAGTATACCATTATTTAATAAACTTTCTCTGTCCCAGACTTCTACCTCCTCACACCCCATGTTCCCGCACTCTTTAATCACATTACAGTTGAGCTGCTGAAATAATTTTCTCCAAGACTCACTCTTGGATAACTACTGACTTCCTGTTACCGGCCAGCAGGAAAGAATGCTTACGATCCCAGTAATCCTGTCAGAGGGTCAAACCTTTTCCTGTTCTTTTGACTTTGCTTTAAGTTTTTGCCTCCAACACAGCAACTCCCTCTACTCTCTTTATTTAGTTCCAGGTGTTCATAACTTATTTTCTTAGAGGTATTTTGCCTTTTTCTCCTTTCTTTGACTTGTTTTACTATGATTTGGAGCCTGGGTGGTGGAAAATAACATTTTCTTAAACTTCCAAGTCACTTTGAATGTGGTATAACTGATACATTAATAAGAAAAAATCCAATTAAGTTTAATGTTTTTTTTTTTTTCTCAGTGCTTTCATATGATAGTCTGTTTAGGGAGGGAGGGAGTAAATTAAAGAATATAATAAAATGAATTCAAAAGCATGGGACAGAAACAAATAGGAAGGCTTTTGGAAGGTAGGACAAGAAAGTGCTTCCAAAGATGACATTGAGAAAAAAGGCAGGAAAATGATATTTACTTTGTCTATAATTCCACTAAACATTGAAATATTATTCTAGATGCCACTCTCTTGTCTCCTAATAACTAGAGAAAGGAATTTTTATCTTCCTGGGGGCAATTTCCCGTTAAGAACAGGTTCTCTTTGATTCATGTGGCTGTGAATGTCAGTTCACCGTATCTTCATTCGTGTTTGAGATGTCCTTTTCCATTGAGATGGAAGCCTAGTTTTTGGAACATGATGTATTTCTTCTCTATTTTCTGTTTTCAGTACGTGTCCCTCAAATCAAAGTCAGACACTTAACAGTGTCTTTTCATCTGTTTCAGATACATACATAATGTAACACACATAAGGAAAACCTGAGCTCTGGCTGTATGCCTGCCCCAGAGATGTTTCTCTCCCCCTCTTCCTGAGTACTTTATGCATTCAAGATATAATACCATGCTCTTTTTGAGTATTTTATGTATTCTTCGATAATAGTACCATATTTGGGTATTTTACCCCTTGGTCTCTTATAAAAAACTTATTAGCAGTATCATATATATGGCATGGATTGTTAGGATAACCTTAAATAATAGGGTCTTATTGTAAGATACATGGGAATTGAAGAAGCACAGGAAACTGGCTCAGCAGCCAAATAGTCCCTCTGTGCTTGTGCTTCCTAGACTGGAATGTATACTAGGCCTCATAGAGATTGCAGTAGTGGCTCGTTGTCATTCCCGATCCCACAGCAGCTCCAGTGATTCTGTATTAGTCTTTTTCACACATCGCTCATTCAGACTTTCCAAATTGAGGATCTGATTGTGGGTATGTGTGTGTGTGCCGTGCGTGCGTGTGTATGTATGTATACATATATCATCTCTTACGTAGAATCTTACATAGCTAGCCTGGCTCATGATTCATGGTCCATTCATTTGTGACCAGGGAAATAGGGTTGATTTCAAATGTATTATCTTGCTTTGTAAGCCAGCAACTTTATGCAGAAGGAACAGCCTGGGGCCACTCCTCTGAAAAAATGATTGTGAGGGGCCTTCAGAGCTTCATAAACTGTTTATTACACTCTACAACCTGGCTTTAAAAAAAAAATTCCTATATTGGTCCCTAATTGTTTGATCTAAAAGGCTTATCTTCTTGTCTATATCCTAACCCTCTTAAAGGCAGGAAGTGTCATAGCTTTTTTATTACCACCCCTGACACTCAGCACAATGCCAGCCGCTCGGTGTTTATTAAACAGAACAATTTTAGGTAATGGTTCACTAAGAGAAATCACAGTGATGGAAGTTTGTTGCTTTTCATAATCATTTAAAGGGTATTTTTGCATCTGCTTTGCCTAAAGAACTGTGAATCTACTTTACCAATCCAAAGAATAACACAAGCAGTGCTGAATTTTAACAGAAAATTTAGAGATGACCTTTCTCCACTTACGGTTGCACTAGCCAGAGTGCTTTGTTCTTGTCTCTGAATCTAAGCTTTAGAGCTGAAGAAATCATCTGGCTGAAAGTTTGACTATGAAATATTTAACAGTCACTAGGTAGACCTTTGAGGTGCTTACATCCTCATTTTTTAATGTTGGCAGAAACATTTTGGAGAATATTGTTAGTGATCATTGCTTTCTTCTTTTGGAGAAGAGATGGTGTCTAGTATCTGTAGATTCCAGCATCAAGAGCCAGAAACTTGAAACCTTGGACAAAGTACAGAAAAAGCTCTAATTACTCAGGAAGGTTGACTTGTGATGTTTTTGGTTCAAAATGTTTGCCAAAGATTGATTCCCATGGTAGGCCATAAAAAAGAATTTCACAGAATAACTATGATATTTTCTAAATGTAATGCCTGGATTAATACCTAATATATGTTTAGAAGAATGGCATGGGATTTTTTTGATGCATATTATTTATTTCTTGGAATTACTGTTTATATATACAAAATCGTCAGAGGCAAGAGGAATTTCCTTAGTAATCAACAGATAGTAGTCACTTTCAAAGTCTACTTCAAAAGGATACAGCTTTTGTTTTGGGACCTCACAACTGAAGCATACACATC